TTTAAGCATTATAAAAACTAGGAAGCACAGTTTCCTCAACTGATATGAGGTGGTCAGTTTACATATAGACATGATGGTGGCCATCTTGGATTTTCACGTGGCAATTAAATTTTCAGTAGTGACTGTACATGCAGCCATGCAGCCACACACAAAAATGGAAGTTGGAATGTTGCTTAATTTTCAAGTTATTTAGCTCACAAGGTTAACATACACACATATATGGAAGCAGCCATCTTGGATTTTGAGTGGCAACCCATTTGTCGAAAGGAACATTTCTGATGCCTAGATGTTGCCACACACCAAAATGGAAGTTGGTACCTCACCTAGTTTTCAAGTTATAATGCTCATAACATGCACACACGGATGAACGGAGGGTAGTTCCAATTCTCCCTTTGCACTTCATGACAGGGAACAATAACCACTCATTACATATAAAGATCCACAGAACACCATCTCTGAACAAACATGTGCAACCTTGAAGGAGATGGGCTACAGCAGCAAAAGGCCATTCCTGTCAACTAAAAACTGGAAACTGGAGCTACAGTACATGTAGACTTACCAAAATTGGACAAAAAGAAATTGAAAAGCAGTGTTGTGTCTTGACATGTTACGCTAACTTTTAAAACAATTATATGGTGTTTACCAGGAAACATAGTAAACCTTTAATTATTATTTAGTAAATTTATTAGAGAAGAGTTTTCAGATTAAAAAAATTTGAAATGTTACACTAGGATGTCTAAACTACAGGCTGCTTGTTCCTAATATATTCCTCACAAAATCTAGTAGACTTTGGTGTGTGTGAATGTTAAACTGATTATTATATTAATATTAGGCACTGAACAAAAACAAACCAATTTATAAATTAGCTATAACTTGCCCTGGTTTCTAAAGATTAGCATCAGCTATTAAACACTGATCATTGATTGACCTCTACTTTTCCCTCCCTCATTTTACTCAGTGCTGCAAAAAAACATGAAAAGTGACATGACATTTATTTCATGTACTGTTTTCAACACTTAAAAAAATACTGGTAACTTTCTAATTCTGGTATCTTACAATAATAACCTTTTTACAAAAAAAAAAAATCACAAAGGCAACGTGTCTACAACATGCATTACTACACTAAAAGAGGCTTCGCTAGAAAAAAATAGCTCTGTCACCAAATGAGAAGACAGTACATTGACCCTTGTTGTATATTCATTGATTGTTGATGAAGATAAGTGAAGACAAGCGAGATCAATGCATCTCACAAAACGGCCCATGAATTGATTCAAACCATATGTGAGGAGGGGGATAAAAATCGATACGGTGTCAAGGATATCCTTCGCCAAGGAGATAGCCTAGCAACCGGCATAGTCATACTTTAATCCCAGAAACAAGTAAACAAAAGAAAACTTTGCAGGTGTTGAGGAAAAAGAAAGTTCAGACCACTTTAATGACATGTTTAAATCAATGCAAGAAGTCTTTACTTAAAATCCAACTCCTAATAAGAAAAAGAGGGTTAAATCGTGTCATCTGGACCAGTTCCTTTAAACTGTTCCTTAAAGGAACTGGTCCATGATGACACAATTTAACCTTTTGTGTTGTTATCTACCTGGATGAATGAGCATACAAGACTTTTTCCAACTCCTAATGTTTGATATGTTATTGCTGTGTGTTGGTAATATGTGAAAAAATGAGTAGATCAAAAATAAACATGCTGTAATAAACAAACACTCCAACAGTCAATACCCAAAGGACCAAGGGCTGCAGACAGAGGAGCAGCTGGGAGTGTTCTGTTAACAGTGACAAATGTGCAACAGACAAGTGAGTCAGCCAGAAAATCTGTTTTGAGTGTGGCTTCTGGCAGAGACCAAGTAGCAATTGTTATTCTGCTTCTCTTGAGAATTTGCCAAGTTGGGGATATATTTTCAGCCATGAAGCTGCTTTGCTTTTTCTACCATTAATGTTATGACAGTAGAAAAATCAAGTCAATACAGATTTATTACTTGCATTAAATATTGTTGTTCACATGCGCATTGAAAAATAGGATATATTAACCTGTCGGTAGTTAAGACTAATGCTGCATAAAGGCCAACTATATTTCCCATGACAATAGAAACATTGTGTACAAAGTAAAGACTCTATGGACAAACAACCCAAGTCATAAATTCTGCTCTGCCCTCCAAACCTGGACTTCACCACAGTACACATTTAAGCACTGCAGCAGTCCAGCTAAAATGTTGTGAAAACAACTTACAAAGAGTTTAAAAATAATTATAATAATAGTAATACTATTTACAAGACAGTTCGTTGTATTTTAACCCTTTATTTGAGGGAAAACTATGACACCAAAGATTGTTTTCTGCTGGTTATATTTGGAAAGTTGTGTCTTGTGCATATTTTCAGCAGTCACTGTGCGAGAAGCAGGGTACACCCTGACCACGTCACAAGTCCATCACAGGGCCACATGAAGACAACACAATCACTCACACTCCCACCCACACCTAGGGACAGTTTAGAGTTACCAGTTCACCCAACATTCAAGTTTTTGGTCTGTGGGAAGAAACTGGAGTACCCAAAGAAAACCCACACTTGCACAGAGAGAACAAGGAAACCCCACCTAGAAAGGTCCCCAACCAGGAAGTGATCTTGCAAACTTCTCACTGAGAGGCGACAGCTCTAAGCACTGCTCCCACCCCTCCACTGAGACTTGAAAATGCTAAACTGAATAGAGATGGAATGTCAAACAACATGATGTGAGGACAGTGTGAAAACGTACACAGAAAGAAAAGTGAATGCAGGCGAGGTTGGAACACAAGAAAAGCAAAGCTTTGGATTGCTACAATTAGAAGCATAACTCAACTTGACGGAGATCACCAAACATGCTCTCTTCTTTTAACGATCACAGAAAATTTACATTTCCAGTTTAGAGGACTCTTTAATAAAAGACAGTGAGAAGACAAAATCTGACAGAAATACACCTTTAAATAGCAGCCAAGAACAATGAGATCAAGCGGATTTGGTGAATCTTACATTGTGTATAAACAAAACCAAAGACGGTGTAAATCTCAGGACATCCTTCTTTTTATGAAACCTATCATTTGACAGTGAAGAAGAGAGGTTTGTCTTTATATAATCAACAAATTTATTAGGAATATTAATGCCAACAACAAAATTATAATGCAAACGGTTATAATCAGGAAACACTCTTTTCAATAATCAACAAAGTAAATGCATTTTATTTTAGCTCAGCTCTGTAGCTTTTTAGTTTAATCACCAATTAGTATAAATCTTCTTTAAGCAGATATGTCACTATTGCCTGCTTTTCTGGTTAATAAGCTTAGAACATTAAAAAAAATAAGGTTTTGAGCACATGCTCAGTGTTTTTTTTCTCCTTTTGATCCCATCCCAATGTTTATCACCCTTCATTTTTTTCCAGCAATAAGATCAGAATTTATATAAACATATGTTTCCATTGTTATGTACAGTAAGTGAACTAGAGACTGAGATGTCAAAAGAGTAACAAATTTGAGCATATTCTCTTTGACAAAAAGAAAAAAAATGCTTTATCAGATTCTTTTTTTCTCCTATCAATGATTTTATTTTTTTTTTTACTTACCCATGCTGCATAGTGTGGAAAACTAGAGACAAACCTTTCTAAAAATATATTTTTGGGAAAATATCACAAAATTATGTTTTAATAGGTATACAACTTCCTACAAAATATTGCTTGATTAAATAAATGAGTTACATTGTATTTAGTGTATTCAAATTTTAATGAATAGAGCTATAAAAACAAGAAATGGTTATATGTTTAAAAAACTGTCTATAAAAAAAGCCATTTTCAAAAGTCGAGGTAGAGTGGAACTCCTGTACGCAAGGAATGGTAAAGTTAATAGAGGAGATTAACCAAATTTATATAGTAATAGATCAAAGTTTTCCGATGAGCTATATTTTTCAAACTAAACATATATATATATATATATATATATATATATATATATATATATATA